CTCAATCTCTCCTCATAAGCCAACCCTCTCAATTCTGGAATCAACTAGTGATCCTCCTCCACAACCTCTCCAGTGCCAGTACATCCTTTCTCAAGTAAGGGCACCTATTCCAACCTAGCCAATTACCACCCCGTCAGTCTACTCTCGATTATCAGTAAAGTCATGGAAGATGTCATCAACAGTGCTGTCAAGCAGCACCTGATCAGCAATGCCCAGTTCAGGTTCCACCAGGGCTACTCAGCTCCTGACATCATTACAGCTTTGGTTCAAACATGGGCAAGAGAGCTGAATTCCAGAGGGCAGGTGAGAGTGACAGCTCTTGACACCAAGGCTGCATTCGACCGAGTGTGGCATCAAGGAGCCCTAGCAAAACTGGAATTAATAGGTATCGGGGGAAAACTCTCCAGTGGTTGGAGTCAGATCTGACACACAGAAAGATAGTCGCGGTTGTTGGAGGTCAGTAATCTCAGTTCCTGGACATCTCTGCAGGAGTTCTTCAGGGTCATCTTCTCAGCCTAACCATCTTCAGCTGCTTCAGCAATGACCTCCCCACATCATAAAGTCAGAAGTGAGGAAGTTCGCTGAGGATTGCACAATGTTCAGCACCATTTGTGACTTCTTGGAAACCGAAGCAATCCATGTTCAAATAGAACAAGATCTGGACAATATCCAGGCAAATATCACTGGCGCCACACCAATACCAGGCTATCACCATCATGAATAAGAGATAATTTTACCACCACCCCTTGGCATTCAAAAGGTATTCCCATCACTGAATCCCCCACTACCAACATCCTGGGAGTTATCATTGACCAGAAACTCAACTGGACTCACCACATAAAGACAATGGCTACAAAAGCAGGTCAGAAGATAGGAATACTGCAGCAAGTAACAACTCCCAACTCCCCAAAGCCTTTCCACCATCTGCAAGACACAAGTCAAGAATGTGATGGAATACTCCTGACATGCCTGGATGAGTGCAGCCCCAACAATACTCAAGAAGCTTGACACAGCAGCCGGCTTGATTTGGCACTACATCTGCTCCCTTTACCACCAACGTTCAGTAACAGCAGTGTGTACTATCTACAAGATGCACCGCAGAAATTCACTAAGAGATCCTCAGACAGCACCTTCCAAACCATGACTACTTCCATCTAGAAGGACAAGGGTAGGGAACATCACCACCTTCAAGATCCCCTCCAAGCCACTAACCATCCTGACTTGGGAAATATATCATTGTTCCTTCACTATCACAGGTCACAATCCTGGAATTCCCTCCCTACTGGCATCGTGACAGCTCACCACCACCTTTACAAGGGCAACTCAGGATGGGAAATAAATGCTGGCTAGCTAGCGACATCCACAGCACACAAAATGAATAAATAAAAGGAAGCCAAAACTGTACGCAGTACTCCAGGTGTGGCCTCACCAGCACCCTATACAGCTGCAGCATAACCTCCCCATTTTTAAACTCCATCCCTCGAGCAATGAAGGACAATATTCCATTTGCCTTCTTAATTACCTGCTGCACCTGCAAAGCAACATTTTATGACTCATGCACAAGGACACCCAGGTCCGACTGCACAGCTGCATACCGCAATTTTTCACTATTTAAATAATAGTCCATTTTGCTGTTATTCCTACCAAAATGGATGACCTCACATTTACCAACATTGTACTCCATCTGCCAGATTCTTGCCCATTCATTTTATCTATATCCTTCTGCAGACTTTCAGTTTCCTGTTTGTTCTACAATTCATCTTAGTGTCATCTGCGAAATGACACAGCACACTTGGTCCCCAACTCTAAATCATCTATGTAAATAGTATACAATTGTGGTCCCAACACTAATCCCTGAGGCATACCACTGATCACCAACCAGAAAATCACCCATTAATCGCAATACTTTGCTTTCTGTTAGCTGACCAATCTTCTATTCATGCTAATACATGACTCAGAACACTTTATGCAGAGCCTTTTGTGCGGTGTCTTGTTGAATGTCTTCTGGAAATCCACAACAAATCACTAACCCCAATTAACAAAAACCACATTTAAAAAATTCATTCAGTAGATAAGGTTTTATTTACTTATCTATCCAGCTTTTTTTAAAAAGACTCAAACCCTCCATTCCCGACAATATCCTGCTAAATTTTTTCTGAATCCTCTCCAGTTTAATAACATCCTGCATATAACAAGACAACCAGAGCTGCACACAATACTCCATAAGATGCCTCACCAAAGTCCTGTACCACCTCAACATGATTTTCCAACTCCTATACTCAAAAGGTCTAAGTAATGTAGGCAAACCAGCTAAATGTGTTTCTAACCATCCTGTCTACCCGTGATGCAAATTTCAAAGAATTATGTACCTGGACTCATAGGTCTCTGTTCTACAACACCACCCAGGGCACTATATATAGCATAAGTTCTGCCCTTGTTTGTTTTACCAACATGCAATACCTCACATTATCCAAATTAAGCTCCATCTGCCACTTCTCAGCTTATTGATTCAATTGATCAAAGTCTCTTTGTAATCCTCAATAACCTTCTTCACTGTCCACTATACAACCAATTTTGGTTCATCCACAAACTTACTAACCACCCTGCTATATTCTCATCCAAATCATTTTTTAAATGACAAACAAAATTGCACGCAGTAACAATCCCTGTGGGATACCACCGGTCACAGGCCTCCAGTCTGAAAAACAACCATCACCACCACCCTCTGTCCTGTACCATAAAGCCAATTTTGTATCCCATTTGCAAGCTCACCACAAATCCCATGTGATCTAGCTTTACTAATTAGTCAATTAACTTTATCAAAGGCTTTACTATAATTCAGACAGACAAGGTCTATCACTCTGCCCTCAATCTTTTTGGTGACTTCCTCAAAATAGCCCAAGCTATCCTCGATTCCTGTGGTCCTCTCTCGTCACTGCCTGCCACCCCGGAAAAGACCACTTTCTTCCAACTCTGTTTCCTGTATGTGTACTGAAATGAATTGAGAAATGGTCAGCAGTCTCCAATCTCATGTGCTTTGATATTGCATGCTGAGTTGTTATGTGATGTCATTGAGTGTCCTTCTGAATGTCCAAGTAAACAAGATCCGCTGGCTCCCTCCTAGCCACTCTGCTAGTTACATTCTCAGAAAAATTCAGATTTCCTCAAGCGTGATTTCCCCTTTGTAAATCCATGCTGACTCCTAATTCTTGGGACAATGTTCTAAATTGTTTGCTATTACACCTATTATAGTGGACTCTAGCATTCTTCCCATCACATGTTAATTCCCTGTTTTCTCTCTGTCTCCCTTCTTAAATACTGGGATTACATTAGTTATCATCCAATCCACAGGAACTCTTCCAGAGTCTACAGACTTTTGGAAGATAACCACCAGCATGTCTACTTTTTCTAGGACCACTTCCTGAGGTCCTAAGAGAAGGTTATCAGGCTCTGTGGATTTGTCTGCCTTTAATCCCATTAGTTTCCCCAATATCATTTCCCTACTAATTTCTTTCAATTCCTGCTTCAATTTAGACCCTGTGATTTTCAATATTTTTGAAATGTTATTTGTGTCCTCCTTTGAAGGCAAAACCAAACAACATCTTTAATTGGTCTGCTGTCTCTTTGTAACCCATTATAAGTTCCCCTGGTTCTACCCCTATATTCATTTTTACTGATCTTTTTCTCCTCACAGACCTTTTGAGGCTTCTACTACCAATCTGGAATCGAGAGTCTAATTGTGACCTTAAAACCCTTTAGGGAAGGAAACATCTGTCCTTATTTGGTCTGCCCTATAAGTTATTCCAGACCAACAGCAATGCACTTGACTCTTAACAGCCCTCCGAGTGATTAGGGATAGGCAATAAATTCTGGCCTAGCCAGTGACACCCATATCTTGTGAAAGACGTTTTTTAAAAAACGTCTATTGGTTGGTATAGTCGCTGCAAGCTTGTTGTCATACTTTGTTTTCCCCCTCTTAAATCAATCCCTTTGTTGAAATGTAAACTGTTCCAAATGCTCAGGTCTGTTGCCTTATTTTGCCAATTTGTGCGCTTCTTCCTTAGATTTAATACTAATCATAATTTCTCTTATTTGCCATGGTTTGACCACATTTCCTGTATTGTTTTTGTGCCAGACTGGGCAAATTACTTTTGTAGCTGGTCCACTCTTTAAATGTTTGCAATTACCTATCTCCCATCATGCATTTGAATACTGATATACAATTTATCACAGCTATCTCACACCTCATACCATTATAATCTCCTTTATTTCATTTCAGCATGCTGATCTCAGAAGGAATGACATCACTCCCCACTTTAATGAAGAATTCTATCCTATTGTGGTCATTCTTCGCTAGAAGCCCATGCTCAACTAGATTGTCATTTATTCCTTTCTCATTACCCAATACCCAATTGTTTCCTCAACATATTGATTCATAAGAAGATTCTATATACACTCAATGAATTCCTCCTCAATTGTTTTACTACAGATCTGATTTGCCTAATCTTCAGGCAGATTAAAAGTCACCCAAAATGCTATATCCTTATTACTTGCATCTCTAGATTCCATTCTAATCTCTTCACCAATATTACTCCTGCAGCTTTGATTCTATATACAACCCTACTGTTGTTTTCTGTCTATTGGTGTTTCTAAGATCAAGCCATACAGATTCTACTTCACCAGTCTATATCCTTGCTCACAATCACAATAATGTCCATTTTTCATCAGCAGTTCTACCCCTCCTTTCCCTTATTGCCTATACAACCTGTCCTCCTAAGACAACATGCCGATTCCAGGAATCAATCTCGTAAACCTCCTGAGAACCATCTCCAACAAATTTACACATTTCCTGAAAGATGATGATGAAAATTGTGCACAGTATGAGAGGAACAGTCTCACCAATGCCCTGCACAAATTAAACAGAACATCCTTACATTTATCCTCAATTCCAGACACAGAAAGGATAGCAGTCCATCAGCTTTCTATATTACATGCTTTACCTGCATACTAGTTCTTCATGACGCATACTTTAAATCCCTATGCAACTCGGAATTCTGGAGTCATTTTCCATTGCTGGAAAAGCTCACCAGGTCTGGCAGCATCTGTGAAAAGAAATCAGAGTTAATATTTCAAGTCCAAAACCCTTCCTCCAATTTCTCATCACAGATGCTGCCAGACCTGTGGAGCTTTTCCAGCAACTTCTGTTTTTATTTCAGATTTAGAGCATCTGCAGTTTTTTTTTAGTTTTTATATATATCCTCAACCTCTTTTTGGCTTCATCATATTTTTCCATCTTTAGCTACTGCACCTTCCATCTTCTCATTTAAGTAATTTATGTAAATTCTAAAAGGTTGGGTAGTGTGTTAGACCCAATCACTTAAAAGAGACACAGGAGTATTAAAGGATTTTTTTCCCCCCAGAATGAGTCGTACTACACAATCCTCTCTGGTTATGGGTGGAAATGAAGAGAATCAACGAACTGAAAAGAAGGAAATCAGACAAGCATTTCTGTGAAATAAACTTGCAGACCTTTGGAGAGGGAGCAGGGGAATGAAACAGACTGCATTGGTCTATAGAAAGTTGGCACTGATGAAATAGATCAAATTATTTCTTTCTGTTTCAAAGATTCACTTCTGCAGCCTCTCCTCAAAAGGCAATCCAGAAATTGTGGTAAACCTGTGTTGCCTCCACCAGGAAGGTCCACAGTCCCCCATTCTCAGGTATAATGCCCAAACCGTGGACACATCCTCTGTGGCTGGTCTGCGCACAAGTTCGAATCTCTAGGAGCTTTTCCAGTGACACTGATCTCGGAAATCTTTTCGCACAGCCACAACAGCCAAAGCTTTTAACTTTCTTCAGGATTGCTCCTTTCCTCCAGATGCTGCCTGGCCTGCTGTATTCTTCCAGCCTCCTGTTTGTCTACCTTGGATTCCAGCATCTGCATTTCTTTTGTCTCTAACCAAAATTTTTACCTTGGATGGTGAAAAGCCGATGATAGTGAGGTGCTGGTGAATGGAGTGACTCTGTTAGTTCTTGCTGTGACATCTGGGTGGAATTGACGATCTGGAAATGCTTCCCCTTCAACGTGCTGTAAATACAGTAAACAGAAAGTCATTGTTCCCTTAATCCGGAAGACAACATTTCTGAAGGGTCTAGGCCCGAAACGTCAGCTTTCCTGTTCCTCTGATGCTGCTTGGCCTGCTGTGTTCATCCAGCTCTACACCTTGTTATCTCAGATAACGTATTGACTCCAGGACCCCTTCAGCGCAGGCTCCACTCACCGCACCCGGCCCCATTTCGTCATTCATTAATTGGCTGGAGAAGTAACCCCGCCCCCACATTCTCTGAAACGTCGGTGATGCAACCCGCCCCTCATTCACTGATCGGCAGGAGGACCAATAGCCGCCGTCCGATCCTCCAGCCCCGCCCCTTGCTATTTGACATACTCCAGGGTGTAGATTACCACGTTCTGGGATTTGTTGCCTTTTAAGACCACCAATTTCCCCAACAACATTGATTTCCTTGAGTACCTCCCTCTCATGTATTCCTCAGCATTTTAGGGATATTATTTGTGTCAACCTTCGTGATGACAGAACCAAAGTATGTAGTTAATTGGTCTGCCATCTCTTTATTCCACGTTATAACTTTCCCTGTTTCTGATTGGAAGGGATTTGTTTTCATCAATCTATATTTCTCTTCGTATACCTTTAGGAACTTTGACGATTAGTGTGCACATTCCTCACAAGCTTACGCTAAGGCTTCATTGTCACCTCTTCATCAATCCCTCAGTCCTCTTTTGCTAAAATCTGAACTGCTCCCAGTCTTCGGATCTGCTCGTTTTAGCCAATTTGTACGCCTCTTCCTTGGATCCACTACCATCCCTAATATCCCTGATTATCCATGGCAGGGCCACCTTTCCCAGTTTATTTTGTGTCAGACAGGAATGAACAACGTTTGTAGTTCGTCCAAGCGCTCTTTAAATGTTTGTCATTCCTTCCAAGTTATGTTCCCCAATATATTGTAGCCTGCTCATGCCTCAGACTATCGTAATTTCCTCTGTTTAGAGTTCGGCCCAGAGTCCAGAATCAACTCTGTCACTTTCCATCTTAATGAAGAGTTCTGTCACTCAGTTATTTATTCTTCCACAAGGGGGCACAGACAGCCAGATAGCCAATTATTCTCTTTTTATTACATAATTAACATCTTGACATTAAAGTTGCCTTGGTCCCAGAAGATCATGGGACTGCTCTCTTACTTGAAATCAAGACATTGGTACTTTAACTTGAGGGTCACCATGCCTCAGTCCAAGAGCAAGGTTATGAAGATGGGACCTTCATGGTGACCTCAACTGGTACAGGAATTGAGCACGTGCTGTTGGTGTCACTCTGCATTACAAATCAGCCATCAGTTTACTGACTTAACCCACTCCCAGTCATTACGCAGTATGCAGTCGAGGACAGCCTGTCCTCCCTTTGTGTCCACAATGTATTGATCCAGAAAGCCACCGCATACACACTTCAGGAATTTGTCCTCTATGGTGCTGTTACTGATTTGATTTGCTCAATCCATGTGCAGATTGATGACACCCATAATAACCATTAGAGCACAAGATAAAGTAGCAGAATTAGGCCCATTAAGTCTGCTTCACCATTTGATCGTGACTGATATGTTTCTCAACCCAATGCTCCTGCCTTCTGCCTTCTCCCATAACCATTGATCCCTTCAACAATCAAGAACCTATCTATCTCTGTAATAAAAACACTCACTGACTTGGCCTCTACAGCAATGAGCTCCACAGAATCAGCACGCTCTGGCTGAAGAAATTCCTCCTCATCTCAGCTCTAAAGGATCATCACTTCACTCTGAGGCTGTGCCCTCGGTTGCTGGTATGTTGTACTAGTTGAAGTATCATCTCCACATCGACTCTATCCTAACTCTCAGTGTTCTGTAAGTTTCAAACACAGTCAGGCAGCGCAAAAACAGACCCCTCAGTCCAACCACTCCAGGCTGACCATGTTCCATGCCTGCACTTGGTCCATATCTCTCCAAACATTTCTTATTCATGTACTTATCCAAATGTTGTTTAAATATTGTAAGTGTACCTACGTTCACCATTTTCCCTGGAAATCCATTCCATACATGAAACACTGAATTTTTTTAGAAGTTGCCCCTCATGTCCTTTTTAAATCTTTCTCCTCTAACTTTAAACATGGCCCCAAGTCTTGAAAAGACACCTGCCATTCCCCCTATTTATACACCTCAGGATTTTATAAACCTCTATAAGGTCACCCTCAACCTCCTACGCTCCCATGGAAGAAGTCCCAGCCTAACCAGCCTCTCTTTATAATGCATCACTCCATTCCCAGCAACCTCATTGTAAGTCTTTTCTGAACTCACTCCAGCTTAATAATATTCTTCCTATAACAGGGCGACCAGAACTAGACACAGTACTCCAGAGGAGAACTCACCAATGCCCTGTACAACCTCACCATGATGTCCCAACTCCTGTAGACAACGGTCTGAGCAATTAGGGTAAGATTACTAAATGCCTTAACCACTCTGTCTACATGTGAAGCAAACTTCAAGGAATTAGATAACTGAAACCGGATGCCTCTCTGTTCGACAGCACTACCCAAGGCCCCACCTTTAATTGTATAAGTCCTGCCTCCCTCGTTTGCTGTACCAAAATGCAATACCTCACATTTATCCAAATTAAACTCCATCTGCCACTCCTCAGCCCATAAGCCCAATTGACCAAGATCTCTTTGTAATCTTAGATAACCTTCTTCACTGTCCACTCTACCACCAATTTTGGAGTCATCTGCAAACTTATTAACCATTCCTTCTATATTCTCATCTAAATCATTTATAGAAATGACAAACACAAGTGGGCCTAGCACCGATTCCTGTGGAATACTGCTGGTCACACGTCTCCAGACCCAAAAACAACCCTCCACCACCAAACCCTGTCTCCTGTCATTCGGGGAATTAAATATCCAATTGGCAAGCTCACCCTGAATCCCATGTGATCTAACTTTACTAATTAGCCTACCATGTGGAACTTTGTCAAAGGCTTTGTGAAAGTCCAAGTAAACAATGTTTACTGTTCTGGCCTCATCGATCTTTTTGGTTACTCCATCAAAAAGCTCAATCAAATTGGTGAGACGCAATTTCCCCTAAAAACAAAACTGCTGACTATCCCTAATCATTCCTTGCCTCTCCAAATGCTATCTTTCAAAATCACCTCCAACAGCTTACCCACTACCAAAGTCAGACTTGCAGGTCTATAATTCCCAGGCTTCTCCCTACATCCTTTCTAAAACAAAGGCATAACATTAGTGACTCTCCAGTCATCCATCACCACACCCATATTTATAGATGATAAAAATATTTCTGCAAGGAGCCCCGCAATCCCCTCCCATACTTCCCACAATGCCCTGGGCACACTTGATCAGATACTGGAGATATGTCATCTTCAAATTTTCTAAGACCTCCAGCACTTCCTCTCCTGCAATGTGAACTGTCTTCATAACATCAATATTTATTTCTTTGAGTTCTCTAGCCTCCTTTGGTCCAAATTGTCTGTGTCGATCAGGTTGCTCATACTGAATTAGTCCTACTTGCTTGCATTTTGACCATGCCCCTCTAAACCTTTCCTACTCATGTACCTGTCCAAATGTTTTGTAAATGTTGTAACTGTACCTGCATTTACCACTTCCTCTGGCAGTTCACGCCACATACAAACTACTCTTTGTTTGAAAAGGTTGCCCCTTGGGTCCCTTTAAATCTTTCTCCTCTCACCCTAAAAATATACCCTCTAGATTTGGACTCTCCTATCCAAGGGAAAAGTACTTTGCTGTTCATCTTATCTCTACCCCTCATGATTTTATGAATCTCTGTGAAGTCACCCCTCAACCTTGTACGCTCCAGTGGAAAAAAGTCCCAGCCTATCCAGCCTTTCCTCATAACTCAAACCCTCAAGTCCTAGTGACATATAGATTCTAAGCATAGCATGAAGCCACACAGTGGCTTCCAGCTGCTAGAAACATCACCCAGTCTCCATTTCTTTGGCCCTTGGTCAAACAGTTTGGCAACAGGTACTGTCCAGCTTCATACATGGAGAGTGAACATTTGGGCTAGCTTTTTCCACAGTCAAAACTGATGCGAAATATTCTTTAATACTTCTTTCATCTGCTGAGTTTCGACATGAAAATGTTCTCCTTGATCTTTAAGGTACCCAATCTCTCTCCAGATGCTCTCTTCCTCTATATGTACTTGTAGAATCTCTTTAGATTATCTTAGCCTTGGCAGATAAGGCTATCTCATATCCCCTCTTAAGAATGCCCCTAACACTCTTTTATACTGTTCAAGAAATTCATTCAACCCAGTTGTCCACATTGAACATATGATTCTTTTTCAATCTTGACTAGAGCCCCAATATCTTTATCCATCCATTGTTCTCTAATCATACCAGCCTTACATTTCACACTAACAGGCACAGCAAGGAACATAATGGCTCTGAACTCGTTATCACACCTTTGAAGGCCTCCCACTTATCTGACAACTGTTTACTTGCGGACAGTCTACTCTAATCAACTTTTGAAAGTTCTTGTCTCATATAATTAAAATTTGCATTACTCCAATTGAAAACTTTTAACTTTTATGGAAGGCTTTTCCTTTTCCTTAACTGTTTTGAAACTGATGGAATTATTATCACTCGATCCAAAGTGTTCCCGTACTGTCACTTCAGTCACGTGCTCTGTCTTATTACCCAAGTGGAGCTCCAAGTTTTTTCTCTTTCTTTAGTAGGAAGATTGACTTATTGATGAAGAAAATTTTTCTGAACACATTTAACAAATTACTCAGCATCCAAACCTTTAACACTATGACAGTCTCAGTCAATGTTTGGAAAATTAAAATCACTTCCAATTACAACCTTATTATTCTTACATATATCTGAAATCTCTCTATGTATTTGTCCTCAATTTCCCTCTGGGGCCTATAGTACAATTTTATCAGAAGATAATTTCTTTCTTATTTCTAATTTCAACCCATTGGGCGATTTTTCAGAAACATCTCTTCTAGTTACAGTGGTAATGTTTTCCTTAATTAAAAAAAAACACTCCCTCTCCTCTTTTGTCTTCCTTTCTATCCTTCCTATAGATTCTGAAACCCAGAGCATTAATATGGGCAAAATATCTTGCATAATGTAGGAAAACGTGAAATAATTCACTTTGGCAGGAAAAATAAATAAGAGGAAAATATTCCTAAAATGGTGAATGACAGCAGAATTGAGGTGCAGAGGGATTTAGA